ACCAACACCGAATATGCCATCTGCATCATTCATATTGGCAGCCTTTTGGTAATAGGTAAATGTTTCATATTCATCCTTTTCAACTCCAATTCCATTTCTATAACAATATGCAACATTATTTATTCCGCCAGCATGACTCATATCAGCAGATTTTTGAAAGTAAATGAACGCTTTATTTTCATCCTTTTCAACACCAATTCCATCTTTATAACAAATACCTGTTTGAACCATTCCATCAGCATCTCCCATATCTGCTGATTTTTGATAATAAATAAATGCCTTATGTTCATCTTTTTCAGCTCCATATCCATTTTTATAGCAACTACCAACGTAATATGTTCCTCGAGCATGACCCATCTCTGCACATTTTAGGAAATAAATAAATGCCTTATATTCATCTTTCTCTATTTCAATTCCATTGAATCGACAGTAACCGAAGTGGCATATCTCGTCAGAATCAGCAATTTGATCGTTAATATGTTCATCTATTTCATCTGCAACCATATTTTCCTTCGAGTTACTAAGTGAGTCCATAATTATTAAGCTTTCACTGTTCCGCTCATTTTGATTCTCTTTTAATTAAAGGCATACAATATATCTTATTAGTATAATCATAGTGTTAAAATTATTCAAGTAACATATAATATAATAACGTTATTAATACCTATAGTATTTAGGGGATCGAATTGCGTGCTTACATAAATTTCTTCAGGACATGATGTGTTGATATGAGTTGGTATTTGCATATTTGATAAAAGTATTTTATCAGCCTCTTCTATTTGTGTAACAATTTCGGTTGACCTATTGTTTAAAATATCATTATTCCACGTATTTATAGTATCATAGATTTCTGTAGAAGTTGGCCTTTGGTCTGATTGAGCACTCCAACATTTAATAATTAATTCAGTAATTAATTGTGGTGTATGTTTCGGAATACTTGGACGTAAACCATTATAAATCATACGTTGTAAATGAATATCATGCGGAATATTATTATATACCTGAAAACCTGATATTATTTCATATGCAATTATGCCAAAAGAATACACATCAGATTCTATTTTATACTCCCCACTATATAATACTTCAGGCGCAATATATGGTATTATACCGCAAACCTTATTATTTGATTTTGTATTTTCCACTGTTGATAGCCCTAAGTCTGCAATATATGCACTTTGAAAAGTCGCTAACAATATATTTCCACTATGTAAATCCCTGTGAATAAGCTTATGTGAATGCATTATTTTAAGATCCAATGCAATGTATTCTAGCAAAGACAATTTCTTTTTCCATTCTATTTGTGAAATAGAATAAAGATTTTGACGCAATGAACCCAAAGATGTATATTGAATAACAAGTATGTAATCTTTAGAAATAACATCTTTTGATATACCAAAACATTTTATAAA